TTGCTCCTGGAGTGGTCAAAACACAGTTCTGTTTCCTCTTAATGAGATGACCACTTTTGCTTATGAGATGCTTTTGAGGAGAAATACCTAAGTGTGGTTAGACTTGGCTGTATGTTAGAAATTAGTGTAATGCCCAGTTCCAAAGGTAACTAAATCAGAATCGCCAGTGGAGGTAGCAGGACCTGTATGAGCCCATCCTCCTTCCAGGCTATTAGACTTTCTAAAGTCTATGGGTACTGACCGATTTCAGCTCCTGCAGGTAGACTGAGAGTCACTGCCTTAAATGCAAGCTCTTGATTTCAGTAAGTGATCCTACAGAGGTTTGAAGAGACTGTGCCTGTTCAATTTGTTTCTCTGTGCTACTAGAAAATGAAGAGATGAACAGGTGTAAAATAGGATTACCAGAGAAGAGAAAGACCATGCAGTTCAAGTACATAATTTCTGAACTCTAAAAGTGAAAAGTATGTTTATTTTCTCATGATAATGGAGGATGCTGCTCACGTTCATGCCCTACTCTAAATTGTCCAAGTAGTCTAAATGTTACCAAGTGCCCTGGACAATATCTGCAATTAATCAGCTGGTGAAGCTGGGAGAGAAGGGAGTTAAATTCTGCCATGGCAAACTTCAGCCAGCACTTGTTCAAGAGGGCAGAGACGTACCTACCCAAATCATTCCTAGGGACCCATGAAGGGACCTTCACACTACTTGCTGCCCAGACTCTGCTCTTGACATCACTGTGAAGAAGGTTCGTCCCTGTAAAAGCTGCTGTTTTTTAGCTTTCCTGAGGCAAATATATTTGCATAAAACATTGGGCTAAAAGAAATGATGATTTACAGTGTAGAGTTGTGAAAGTGTAAGAAAAAGCAGGCGAAAGGGCTGACTGCAACAAATAATTTTTGCTGTAACAAAGGCTACTGGGGGGGCTGCCTCCCACAGAAAGTGATTTGAAGTTGCTGAACAGACGTTGCCTGCTTTTTAATGTCTACCAGTATCCTAGCATTCTGCACTGCATCTCACTAGGGAATCCAGACTACTAAGCAGTGATGAGAAAGGAGAGGAAAAAAAACAGTGAGGTATTGAGAAATGAAGGCAGCAAATTAGAGGTAGACTTCAATTTATGATTTGGAAGCCAAAGAGAGCTCTCCAGGTGATTGAGCAAGCTGCTTTTGGTTGCAGCAGCTCTCCTTACAGCTTTGAGTGGCCAGCCTCTCGATTGCTTTGGTTTGTAGTCGTGGATAAGCACTCCCTCTGGAAATTAATGAAAGCAGCCTGCCACACCAGCTCACAAGCTTATAAAATTATATTTTAATTGTGTCTTTAAACCTTTCTCACTTTTGCTTTTGTCTGTTTACCTTCTTGATTCATCTGGATCAACCTGTGCTGGAACAGGGATTTGGTTCCTCCTGAATTGTGCTGTTTATTTGTAACAGGACATATAATGCCCAAAAGCAAGTTGAAATTTATCTTACACTTTCTATTCAAGGACTGAAGGTGGAGGTGGGGAGTGATATAGATATGCTCTTGAGTAGTAGGGAAATAATTTTGTTCCTAATTCATTTGTTATAAAGCATCCAGACATCAGTTGATGTTGACATCACCTTAGCTATTTCCTTCATTTCCCAAATCTTTTCTCTTTCTTTTGATTTGAAATTCATCTTTGTCTGGCTCCAGGGACTCATTTTGGTGGGCTATCTTAGCACTTCCCATGAGAAATTTTATGCCAAGCAGTTGAAAAAATTAAATATAATCTTTTGGCTCCAGGACCAGTCAGATAAAATTGCTACAGGGACTGGGGGAGGAGCATCTGCAGATGCCACTGCTTTTTTTCCTTTATAAGCGGTGAATATTACCCCCTTTCATTAAATTATTTGATTTCCTGTTTAATTGTGTATGGCCACATTTGCATTCTCTTTTGTGACAGAAGTCATACAAGACAGAAACTCTTGTATCTCTAACTTGAATCCATAGGTGCTGGCCTTTAAAAAACGCTGATGCTTCCAGATATTGTTACTAAAGAATATGAAAGATAATGCTGCTGCTACTTAGAGTGAGACACAGCATTTTGAGGAACCATCAGTGCAATTCTACTGCAATCTCTGTTCTTTATCATTTAGCTTCCCTGTCACACACAGCTGTATGACATTACTAAAACAACATGCCACAGAGGTGAGCTCCAGGGATATTTTGGAAGGATTTCTGGCAGTAGAATAGATAATCCATTTATTAACACAAGCAAGTGATTAAAATATATCAATAAATAGATTAATACATTGATTAAATAACACATCTTAGGCTGGACACACCCAAATTCTCAGCTGTGCACATGTAATTCACATTCTGAGAGAAACTATTAATACACACAGAATCCTGTAGAGGGTGTTGAGCAGGAGCAATGGGAGTCACCAGCTGTTATCTGAATGAAGTTGTTTTGCCTGAATATTTGCCTGAAAGATATTTTTAGTTTTCCTACAATAACAAAAAATCCTCAGTTCTTTGATGAACTTGATTGAACAACAAAAGAGGAAAAGGAAAATAAAACCAACCAAAACCAAGAGGAATTGCCATCTGTCATCTTTGGCTGACTATTTTGAGCTCTACCACATTTTATATACTGCAACACACTAGTTTAGGACTTTTTATCTCAGAAGTCTTCTGCTCTGCAAGATTATAAATGAGTTCACCTCTAGGAAGTTCTCCATGTCTCAGCATGTTGTGCTGTTATTTCATGCAACCTTCTTCCCAACCTAATGTCATGATTTATTAGTTCAGTCAAGTCTACTTTATCCTGCTCCCTCAACTAAACTGGCTTTTCTGTGGAAGACTCCACTTTGTCGCCCTTTTTTATGGATATATTGGGAAGGAGGTGGAACAGGACTTCTTTCTTCCAAACTCCTATTAGCAGTCCATCACCTTGGCATTGGAACTTCTGTAGTTTTTGGAGTGAGACATTAAATGAAGGAGATCTCTGCAAGGGTGGAAGGCCCAAATCAGACAGCAGGCATTCATCTGAAAAGATCCTTGAGGTATTTGTGTGAAAAGCAATGCATAATGTGTTTCTGCAGAGGGGACCCAGGAGCCCTCTGCTTCCACCCACCTGTGGAAGTAGCACCCCACAGAGTAATGAAAAGTAAGGAAGTAGCTTCATTTTCTATAGACTTTCCCAGAAACTCCTCTTGGCCCTGATAGCCAAACAGAGAACATATCATTTTACCTTATAACTAAACTACTTCAGAATTCAGGGTGAATTGAGACTTGATTTTTTTACCTCTCTAGCAGAAATATTTGTTACCTTCTCATTAATTTTTTAAAGGTTCAGGTGCATCAGGCTGGGTAACATAGAATCTATCCTCATTTTGTTAGTGCTGACAGTTGTCATACTAACTATCTTTCATTTTCACAAACATCTTTATTTTTTAGTTGCTTCAGCAAGCTGATGTTCTTTGGAAACAGTTTCCAGAATTTATTTTTTTTTAATGTCTAGATATGTTGAAACAGTGTGATTTATATTAGAGTTAATAAACTGTAGAGAAACAAGTATGCTTTCAGAAAGTACTAAAATCTCTCTATAAAAATGTAGATCCTTTTGAGCTTTTTAAAAAGTGGGGGAGAATTGAAATCTTTCAATGGCTGTTTATTTATTTTAAGAAATGACTAAATAGCCTGAGCTGAACTGTTGGATTTGTGCATTTTAAGCTTTGGTAGAATTAAACTGTGGTAGTGTTCTCCATAACAGTAAGCTTGTTTTCTTTTGAAAATAAGAAACACAAGTGGGCAGTGATGGTAGGAAAAGGGTTTGCTTGTTGATTTGGGTTTGTTTTTTTTTGAGATAGCTCTGCAAAAAGGCTGCTAAATGTCACCCGAAGGCTCTGAACTTCCCCACAGGCATCTATTTAAAAACAACAAACTCAGTGATTACAGGGTGTCTCTGTGAATTTGTTCTGATTTTAAGAGAGTTCCAAATATCCAATCAAATTGGAATCAGAGTCAAACATTTTCAAAAGCAGTTTTAAATGCCCCGATTATATTTCACTTTACTGGTCACTTCCTGTTTTTAACAAGGAGAAGCAACAGAACAAAGTTGAACAAAACCCAGGTAAAAGTCGAGTGTGTGTACAGAGTCTCAGGGGACTGGAAAACAGAAATTCAAATCACTTTTTTCAAGACTGTTGGTTTTTTTACTCCATAGAGTGTAGACCAAGTAAAAAATAGTAAAAAATACTCACATGTTTTTTCTGCACTAGTAGCACTCTTGAAGATGAAAATTCACACACAATATTCAAAGAAAATCAGTAGAATGCAAGAAGGTAATCTAAAGCTTAGCCTGTCTTTATTTTTTAGAATGTAATTGATTTCTCATTTTAAAACACATTTCAACATTTCATTTGTCATTGAAAACTACAGTGAATGACATTTCATCTACATACCTGCTGCTTGAAATAAACTTAAACAACAAAGAACAGAGAGTAAATTCTGGAGAAAAGTAGGAGCAAAATATGGAGAAATGAGTCATTACTTAAACTTACACTATGTGTTACATGGAAATGTAAACTAGAATCAGTCATAACTCCTCCATCCTTTCAATATGTCTGTATTATGGCACTGAAAAAATCCATGCTTCAGAAGACCAAAGATCAATGTAACCTTGATAAAGCAGGAGAATATAAACATACCAGCAATTAAGAGAGGTGGGTGAACTGTGCAGGTAACTGTAGCATCTACAATTATATTCAATGCATCTCTATTATAGGAACTGTGGATTTTTCATCTTTTAATACAACTCTGAGTTTTTATACACAGTAATATACACATTAGTTATTACAGGCTTGGCTGAGGCAAGCATCTAGAGTACTATAAAAACAAATCTGCTGTCCTAGTTCAGAAAACATAGTGCAACTAAAAGATGAGAGACTACAGACTGATGTGAAGAAATGAAACATTTTTACAGACATCAGAAAATTGGAAAGAAAGCATAACTTCACAAAACATCTCTTATTAGTTACCTGTCCCAGAGAGTAGGTGAAGATTTTGCGAGCCTGCCCTGGAGAATTCTAGGTTGCCATAGGCAGGTTGGCACCCAGGAATTTCGTACCCTGCAGCATGAATAGAGGATAAACCATGGCTAGGGATGGCTTATAAGACATACGAGTGATAATCTAGTTAGATTTGCTGCATATTAGTAGGTTATGGCATAATTTGGCACTAATTATTATTCAGGATATCTTACTTTAAAGAAGTATTAAAACTACTGAGCAAGGTGATGTTACCGCACACACTTTTAGTGATTTATTTGTACAACAACTGTAGGTCAGAATGGTCATTTAGAATTGACCTTATGATGGCTGTAAATGGCTGCTACTCCATCTATTTTACTGGAGAATCGTTTGCCCTTAAGATTTGTGAATCAACCTTATATTTTTGCTTTGTAAAAACATCATTTTAATCAAATTTATGCTTCATTGAAAAAGGGTCATCAAAATTCCTTCTGAGCACCATAGTGATAACATGTTTAACAGTTCTAATTAAATCTAGGCTGCTGTTCAAGTTCCACATACCAGGTTTCATGCACATCTACCAGCAGAACAACAGCTGCAAAATATTTGTTGGAAATGAAAAGCACAAAGAGAAGCAATCTGAACTAACAATATAAGCTATGAATAAAGTGCAGCAAAAGCAGATCCAGAGCTCAGGAAAAGGCCAAAGAGGCATGAAAATTATCTATGGGAACTGTAGCCCAACATTAGTATCAAGCAATGCTGGCAAGATCCAAAACATTCTATTTAGTCCTTAGTTAAACAAATTCTCACTCAAGTCAAAGGTGATTTTTCCTGAGTAATATCTGAGCAAGGACTACAGTATTTGGCCATGCAGAATGCCTCATACAGTATTGTTGTGTTCCTTTGCAATATCAGAAATGCAACATGACGTACCTTGAAGGATAAACTCAATAAAAAAATATTTTTCCTCACTCAAGCACATTCCTATTTATGAACCAGAATTTTTGCATAAGTTTCCCTGTGGTCAGTGATCACTATACACACAGAAAATCCTACCTTCAACTATTCACCATCAGTTACTAGTGGGTACCTCAAAGCAGGGACCTTTTGGAACTTCTGGACTGTGAACACATCTTTACATACAAGAACACATTTCAGGAGTCTTTGAAATCTTAACTTAAAAAAATATATCAGTGAATTCAGACACAGGTTTTTCCAGAACCAGTGGTGATTTTTCAAACCAGTGCATTTGCTTTTTCCACATACTTCACTGAGAAATCCTCCATTGTAACTTTTGAATGAAATAACAAAATTTGCAAATTCTGAGGTGGACGAAATAAAAACATCAGGCTCTTCAAGCCCACAAAATTAATTCAATTTGGGCTCTTGAAGCAAATAAGCCACTTGAGCAGGCAGAAATCTCTGCTGTCTTCAGATCTATTACCAGCTCTCTTTGATGTAGACTTAATCTAACCTATCTCATGTTTTTTTACTGATATATAACAAATTTAATCATAGAATTGTCAAGGTTGGAAAAGACCTTCAAGATCATCAAGGCCAACCATCCACCCTACAGCTCCTAACCACTAAACCACTTTATGGAATACAATATTTACCCCTTTTTTTAACATTTCCAGATATTTTACCTCCACCACCTCCCTGGGCAGCATGTTCCAATGCCTCACCACTCCTTCTGTGAAGAATTTTTTTCTAATGTCCAGCCTGAACCTGGTGCAGTTTGACCCCATTTCCTCTTGTCCTATCGCTGGTCACCAGGGACAAGAGGCCAACGCACGCCTCACTACAATCTCCTTTCAGTTGGTTGTAGAGGGTGATAAAATAATCTTGACAAAATATTTTAAGGCTATGAGGCTGTGAAATGTTTGGACAGAGAGGAAGGGGGTATGAATTCCATTGTAGTTATCTGCTCAGTGTTTTTCTTGACACTTTTTTGGTAGTAAGTCCTGTGTAATTGGTCCATAAAGGAGCTAATGCAAAGAAAAGCTCTCTGCTCTAAATGTTGTGGGTCTTTCAAAAACTCCTCAAAGGTATTTAATAACATTCTTTCTCAGATAATCAGTGTCAGCTGTAGTCACTATAGTCACATTCTCATGTGCAAGGTTGAAAAATAATTAGAAACAGTAAGATTTTTTTATTTGCCTGATATATAAGGACAAAAAAAAAAATTGTCAGCTTCTTCAGTTTACAGAAGATGTTCTAAGTGTTAGAAAGAACAAAAAGAATATTATATAGTCACAGTATACAAATAGTAGTTTACTACAGGGAAAATATCAGCCCCAAAAACCTGATGTTGAAATCTTTCAGATTATCTGATTCTAATATGACTTTTTATTGTGCCTTAGCATGATGAAGTGACTCGTGGCTGAATGTGGCACTTAGTGCATAGTCTAGCTGATGTGGTGGTGTTGGTCATAGGCTGGACTTGATGATCATAAAGGTCTTTTCCAGCCTTGGTGATTCTGTGATTTCTCTCCTCTTTCTGCAGAGCTTCCCCTATCCCTCGCTGATGTGATTGAGACAGACTGTAGTGTCAAGTGAGGTTTGAATTTGGACATATTGTAATAGCCTGTGTTTTCTTGTCTTTCCTATAACATGCAGTATGTGACTTCAGATATTGTCTGTGGCTTTTCTGACAATAACCATGGAAGATACTGACAGTCCTATAGTAAACTTGGGGAAAAAAAAAAAAAAAAAGGTGGATTTCTCAGTGAAACATGATCAACACTTTACTTCACTGTCTAAAGAACAAATAACAATTTATCAGTTTTGGTGGTGGATGGTGATGGATCCACTGTGCCTGGAGTAGACACCAACTGCTTTGTCTATTTAAGAAATAGTGTTATGAGAAAAGTAAAAACGATGCCTCTTATGCACCCCCTCTCCATATTTCATAGGGGAGGAAAATTTATTGCATCTGATATGTATCAAGATCCTTGGTTTGCATGCTACTCTTCAAAAACTCTGCTCTTTCTATGCCAGCATATACATATATATATATATATATATATAGTGCAAGTCTGAAAGTTTTTTTTCTGAAATAACATTTTTCAGAAGTTTGAGAATTTCATGGTTGCTCCACTTGTGCATGGAGGACTTAGAGAATTTACTTTAGCAGTCTGTAAGCAAAAGCCATCCCAAATCTTGTACCTGCAAAAGGGAGAGGGATTTTCTGTAGAGTGGGAAAAGGTGTGTCATAGTCTAATTTTATCCTAAACTCAGTGTTAAGACCTGAAGGGGATTTGAAAGTCACCCTTAAACTGGGTTGTGCTGTTACAATTTCTGTACTTGACCAACTTAGCCCTATTTTACCCCAGTATGTAGAATTACAGCACAAGAACTGCTATTTTTGCTTCTATTAGCACCACACAGCTATTTTAAGGTTATGCTTTTATAAACACTAATGAGCCCAGATGAAACACTGACAGGTCAGGCTGGAAGAAGCACAAGGACATCTTGGGACATACTGTCACAACTCTACCTCCAGATCCCACCTTCATTGAAGAGGCACGTGGCAGTGATGCTGCTTTAGCATCACAGACTTGCAAGATGCCATCAGCTGTGCTTGCTACTTGCCTACTGCTCATGCCAGTGGAGGTAACTGGCTGTCACCTGCATGGAACAAAGACTGGAGATAATAAAAATGTCAAACAATCCATTTTCTTTGAGGGAGTGGCAGTTCTGTTCCTAGAGTTAACCAGAACTATCTATGACCACGGCATAAAATAATGTAAAACTACTGCAGGGACTGCAACAGTGTCTCTTAATGAATATTTGAAATACAATTCCCTAATTGAAAAATAGGGTCCTAAGGAACTGTGCATCTTCTTAGTTGGGGTAAGCTGCAGGGACTGGACCAGTAGCTTCACAATGCAGACACAGATGCTAACAGAATACCTAGGAATATCAGCAGGCTGGGAATGTCCATTGAGCAAAAAAGGGAGAAAGATGATGGCACCATTTATGAGCTAATTTAATACCTATTTTCTCTCTGTGTAGGAATACAGAGAAGTTGCTCTGATGGATCATTTTAACACACTTTAGGAGAGAGTGTTTCATTGGCAAAAGGCCTGCTGGCTTGGGCACCTCTTGGTGTCTTTCTGACCAGGCACAATATTCCACCCTTTATCCTCATCCCATTTCCTATATTTTTTGCCCTGCTCTTCTACCAAGCTCCTGCCATGGCCTCTCTTTATCTGAATCTTTGCTCATCTGTGCAATTCCCACCTAATATGTTTCTGGTGTTGCCATTGGTTCCTCTTGGTTCATCAGCTGCTTCAATACTGAAGGTGAAAGACCACTTCCATGTTCCTGCTTGGGAAGCTAGACAGCAAGCTTCATCTGCTTGGAAGAGGGTTAGGAAGGAGGTCTTTGTTCAGTCTTGAAACTCTGGAGCAAAAAACACGTGAGGTTTAATCTATGTGAGGTTTGCTTGCCAACTTAATATGTCTTGATTAAAAAGGTATGATTTTTTCTTTTGAGGATGCTTTCAAATTGTGTCACTTTGAATGTTTATAAACATGTTATAGCACCTGAAACTATGGAAGGCTCCTTGAAGTATTTTATGTCTCAGTTCAAAACCAGGCAGGCTGAGAGCTTCTTAATGAAAAAAGTAATGGGCTATTTTTTTGCTGTATACCCGTTTTTTTCCTTAGTGATATTTTCAGAAATGCGTAACACATTTTAGCATAAAAATATGGCATTCAGAATTCCAATTGATATAGTTGAAGTTTTCCAAATTATAATCAGTGGAAAAAATTGGTTGATGTCAGTGATTGGTGATGTTACCAGATCATCATATCTCCCTCACCTTACTATCTATCTATCTATCTATCTATCTATCTATCTATCTATCTATCTTTATCTAACCATGTGTTTGGCCTTTTGTGGCATAAATATGTATGTATACACACACCCACATGTGTATGTGGATATACATAATTTAAATCCAATATTTTCAGAAAATATCTGTGGTAAATAATCTATTAAACCATTAGAGTTAATATTCCATTCTTGGACTATAAATATGTGGGTGAGTAATTATTATTGTATTAAGCACGTTGATAGAGCAGTTGTGG